CTCATCTCGACATTCTTGCCAGTGTGTTCTTTCTAAAATGAAAATAATGTTATTAGATGAGGTAGGACCCTTTATTGCTCCCCAGTGTCTACATTGGTGGTTTCATCACCAAGTTTTCAGAGGTCCAAGCTGAAGTGAAGAAAACACCAAGTTTGTCTAAATTTTTTCAGCTTACACATTGAGTCAATAATTGAATGAATGAATGGCAGCATTATCAAGATAGGAAATACTGAAAGGGTATGTAAAATGGTAAGTTTTGTTTTAGATATGCTGAGTGGCCTGTGCCCATGATGTATAAGGAAGAGAAAGTGTCCTAAAAGCAGTTGGATATGTGAGTCTGAAATTCAGAAGAGAATCTGGGGAAGGGAGTCTGGATTTGGAAATCATGAATGTTTAAATGGTGTCAAGGGAGCAGATAACATCTCTTGAAGAAGTAGGAAAGCATAAAGAAAAGATAATAAAATACATGAACATTAAGAATAACAGCCATAGTAGTATAAGAAAAAAAAATTATTTTTGAAGTCTTTTCCCCCTTCTGCCATGATTGAGAAAAGACCAGGTCTTTGATATTAACGGCAACACCAAGGTGCAACATTTTTAGTACCTTTTTCTCTTCCTCTGGGAGGATGATCGTTATCCACATCTTTTAGATTTCCCTAGTTCTTTCTGTTCTTTTCTCCTTGAAACAAACAGAAAAGCAAAACATGTTTGGTAAAGCAACTTCATTGCCTAAATAATAGGACTGCTTTTTCTGATGAAAAAGTTGACTAGCCAGTAAGAATGCTGCTACTCTCACATTGACAAATGCAAAAATTATTTTCAAAAATGGAATCTACCATGAATTATTTACCTTCCTACAGTTCAGTTGACAATGAGAAATTTGCTCACTTTTCCCTCCTTCCTATCTCTTTGCAATAAAATTATCTACTCAGTAAGAATAATTTTAGCACACAAAAATTCAGAAATAAGCCTTAGAAGTCACAGTATTTTTGGAAGCAGTATGGCACATTGGAGAGATCAAGGACATAGACCTAGTATTACATTCCAGGTTCAAAACTGACTAACTGTATGGTTCTTTTAAACTATCCTCTATATGCTTTGGTTTTGTCATGCACTGATAATACCTAGTCCATAGAGAATTTTAATGAAAATTAAATATGTGCTTAAATGACTTCACGTAGTTACCGGCAATACTCATTAAATATTACTTGCCTTTCGGGCAGTGCCTGTGGCTCAGTGAGTAGGGCACTGGCCCCATATACCAAGGGTGGCAGGTTCAAACTTGGTCACAGCCAAACTGCAACAAAAAAATAGCTGGGTGTTGTAGCAGGTACAGCTACTCAGGAGGCTCAGGCAAGGCAATTGCCTAAGCCCAAGAGCTGGAGGTTGCTGTAGGCTTTGACGCCATGGCACTCTATCAAGGGCAACAAAGTGAGACTCTGTCTCTAAAATTAATAAATAAATATTACTTGCCTTTCAAAATATATCACAGTATTTGTTAAGAATGAAAAATGGCTGAGTACAGTGGTACACACCTATAGTCCCAGCTACTCAGGAGGCTGAGGTAGAATTGTTTAAACCTAGTTGTTTGAGGCCAGCCTGGGTAACATAGCAGGACCTATTTTCTTTAAAAAGAAAATGAAAGTGAAAAACAAATGGAAGCAAGTTAAGAAAATTAATAAATAATTTATGATTCAGGTTCCTGATAGAAAAACATGATTCCATTATAGTAAATAAATATTATACAATTACATAGAAATTACAAAAATGTTAATTTTTAAAAATAGGATTGCTATCTAAAATAAAGATATAAACATATTTTCAAGTTTATATAAAAATTATATTATAGCAAGTAACAAATTATAACTATTTCCTGATTGTGTACAATGACATGAATTTACTTCATTATAATCTGTTATTACTAAAATAACAGATGAAATACACCACAAATACTTTCCCAATTTGACTGAAGAACTAGAGAAAAAAAAATTTAATGATACAATAAAGATAAATAATCCATTAACCTGTAATCTAAAATCTATAAATCTCTGGAAATAGGTCTGAAATGAAAACAAGGAAACCAGGCCCAAGTGTGTCACTGCCATGTCTCACAACCTTGTATGTGTACAATTTTACTTGTCTACATGTCAGTCACTTCATATTTCAAAGGAGAAATTCTAATTCTAGCTTTAGCCCTTATTCTATTTCATGAAGCCCTTGAGAAGACATCATTGAGTAATATGTAAAGCAGCTAGAGTCTTTTTTAGTGAGCTACATAATTTTTTAAAGGATATCATTGATTTGGACAGTAAAAATAGCCTGCGGGCAAATCCTGCAAGGTCTTCGCCAGACCCACACATCTCCCTTCCTTTTGGCACCATCCATGTTTGGCAGGTGTATTCCATTCCTTACAGGAAGGAATAGGTGCTTCATTGTGTTTCAGAAATTAGTAAGGTTTTATAGAACTAAGGAAGTGACATTTTTCTCATTTCTGAGATCGAATTTTCATGAATCATTCAACCTGGATAAACTAAGAATGCAGTAATTGTTGAAATGTAGTGGTGACATTGCAAAACATGATATTTAAGTATTTCCTCCTGATTTCTTACCATAGCAAAATTTAAGATTTCTAAATGGAAAGATGTCCTATCTATAGAAAGGAAACAAAAGTAAAATGAACCAGTCTGTAAAAGAGAAGCCAAGAGAAGCACAACACATTCATCCCAGTGATTTGGGATCCCACTGATTCTGAATTTGTACCAATAATAATACAAAGTAAAGTTTTACTTTTATGAAGAAATTTTGTTTTACTAGTTAGTAGTTTAAATTATATTATGGGGGAGGGATATATTTAACCAACTGGAAAGCATATATTCCAGCTTTTAACAGTATATGCAGAGAAATATTATTAATAGCCTGTTTAGATTTCTCTTGGGAATAGATTTCTATTAGGAGTAGATTTCTATATCTATTTTTAATAATTATTTCAAGTTACTAACAGATTTTAACAATAAACTTAGAATTTTATAGTGTAGTTCCGTAATTCATACTAACATTTTTCTTCCCCTTCACCTACAATTCAAGTTAATGAAACTTTTTCTTAAAGGGTCCATATAGTTCCATGAATCATAGTTTTTTCTTTTTTTTGAGATAAAGTCTCACCCTGGGTAGAGGGCTGTGGCATCCTAGTTCACAGCAACTTCAAACTCTTGGGCTCAAGCAATCCTCTAGTCTCAGCCTTTTGAGTAGCTGGGACCACAAATTCCTACAACAATGTCAGGCTGTCTTTTTGGTCTTTGTCTTTTGTTTTTAATTTTTTATAGATATGGGGGGGGTGTCTCAGTTTGCTCTGGCTGGTCTCAAAATCCTGAGCTTAGGCAGTCCACCTGCCTCAGCCTCACGGAGTGCTAGGATCATAGATCTGAGCCAGCATGCCCAGCCCATGAATCATAATATTCAAGTATATTGAATATATACTTGACAAGCACTAGTTTTTGTCACTGTATAAAGTCCAGCTAATTACAGACTAATCTGTGAATGCAGTGAATTTTCCAGGAATCCTCTAGCTCAGGTATTTATAAAACCACTAGACTGCTATAGTGGATGTACATGTATAATACTTATGTATAATTTATAGTCAAGAAATCTGTAGTAATAAACATAGGAAAAATTTTCCTTTTTATGTATTGCTATTATCTTTCTTAAAGCAAAGATTTTAAATACACTGAATTATTCTGTTTCATAGCCCTGGTTTTTCTTAACAAATTTTTTAATACATATGGAATCATCCAACAAGCTTAAATTAGTTTTCAGTGTCGTATGCAGTTGATTTGTTGACTTTTTACTGAAATTTCCAAATCATCTCAACTGGCATGTGTAGCACTAGGAATACCGTCATTCCTTTAGTGTCTAGCCCTGTGCTGTGTTTATTTGCAGAGGATCCTCATGCATGGATCCATATAAATGAGGCACACTGTGGAGCAGACTAGACTGTGTCGCTTACCAGCCTTTGAGGGGGGAAGATTGTGTATATGAAAACTGCTGGGCATGATTTTCACTTATAAGGAAGATTTCTTTGTATGTAACATTAAGCAAGATTTTTGTTTGAGGTTTTATGCTTTGTGTAAAGAAAATATAAGAAGAAAACCAATTAATTGTCTGATTCCATCATCTTATGTCAAACAAAACTCTCACTGATCCACATGAATGTGATGTCCCACTCATGGAAGAGCCTAAAACACTGCAGAAGTTACTTCTGAACTTTTAACTCTATTTTCAGTTTTATTGGTGGGTTTTTAATCAGCTAGGAAAAATAAATTTTCTTTGAATAAAAAGCCCATGTAAGTCTTTCCTAGCTTATTTATAATACTCAAAAATAAATACTTATAGAACAGGAAGTCTTAGTTTCAAATGATTACATATATTTAAATTATTTCCAACATTACATATATTTCATGGGACATGAAATTTTTCTCACCTAGTCATGTAATGCCTGGCTTTATTATATTCAACTGACTCTATGAAAAAGAAAGGAATTTAGTATATAAGAGTTGTAAAGTATATCAACCAATGTGTCCCTTATTTAACTAAGTAACAGGTGTAATATTGCTGGTATTTCTGTGTTGAAATATGTACTTCTTTTAGGTAAAAACCAATTTGAAATTTTTCTGCACTCAATATGCCATCTGGTCATTACAATAAATGATTCATTCACAACCTTAATACAAAACGGTAAATGTATTGAAATGAATATTTTATATTCTTCATGTGGCATCGAACACTGACATAAGCCAGGGATCTGAGTTGAAGTTTGTGGTGTTGCTGTTTCTTTAACCTCAAACATTTGGCACTCTGTGGCAGTAATACCTTGTCTTAATGTGACTACAAGGACTGTTGGTCACAGCAAATACTGTCCTTTTTCAGCCAAAGCGTTCTTAACAATAATTGCACTTTTTATTTTCTTTTTCTCCCTATCTTACCCTGCCCCACCCCCAATATAGGTTAGAAAGGCTGGTCGAAGTCCTGAGGAAGAAGGTTGGAACAGGGACCATGAGGACAGTGATCTGACTGAAAAACGACAGTCTGGGGAAGAGCTCACATCTGGTGACCAGGCTGCTTCATTCAACACTGTGTAAACACTGAAGCCTTAACTTAGCAAACAGTTGTTAGAAGTGGGACACTCCAACCACATTCCAAGCTTCGATAAAATCAAATCACAAATGTTTAACCACTTTGCTGCTGACTTGAGTTATTTATCCAAATATATTAACTACAGATTTTACCAATGGGTAGCTATAAGGTTGCAGCTTATTTTGTAACTATTTTATTTCTCAGTGTCTTTAATATAAATCTTTTTACTGAGAGGTCATAATAGGAGCATGATAGAGTTGGTTAGGATCATATCCTCACATATGGCCCTTTTCGAATCAAAGTGCAGAAAAGTAAATATTGTCTAAGCCTTAATCCACTATGTTAGGTCAAAACTTCAAATACTTGCGTTTTTCAATATAAAGTATTATTTCTTAACTGATAAGAACAGCTAAGACGTAAGAATGTGTGGTTTCCCTTCAATATATGTATGTAATCCTTCCTAGTATTAAAGAATATTTAATATAGATGTCATGAATTAACTGTATAATTTGCTTTAGTAAGAGTTTGGTACCTTAATTTTACATTCATTAAGACATTTTTGTTTCATTACAACTAACATAAACTTTTCAATAAAAAGATGAGATTTTTGATGCATACTTATGAATTTATATTATCAATCTTTTTTAATGTTGAATTTGATCTAAACTGTAGTTAAGCTCTAGAAATTCCCAACTCTCTGTCTAATAGGTTAGGATACTTTTGGTTTAGAAATTAGGTTGGACCAGCATGTCTCTGTCCTAAAAGGCAAGAGGCCATCAAACCTGTTAAGTATTCTTATTGATTATCTTTTATTAAATTACTATTTGAATTTTGTTATGGAGAAGGGGAATCCAACATATAATGTACAATAAAATTATAATGTAGAAATATAAAGACTTAGGAAAAAGTAAACCTACAACTTGGTTCAAGTTACTTTTTATTTCATTTAAGAGATAAAATAGTTACAGCATAGCAGTCACTTCTAATCATATGAAGTAATAACTAGAACTGAGATTTTATATAATTGGCTGTAAGAAAAAATACCTTCTTCTTTTTTAGGTCGAACAGATAAAATGCAATAGAAAATGGCTATGCCTGGAACAGGATGGAGTAGAAAAGTAGAAACTGAATTACTGAAAATTTCATAGGCAAACAAATATTTTTCTAAGTCTGTACATTTTTAATTCATTTTAAAGATTGAGCTAAATTCTCTACCAATGTCTATTTTCAGGGTAAGTACATTCAAGACTATTTATTGCTCTATTCTTCCATCTACCATCAGAGATCATTCATGGGAAATAGTTTTCTGTGCAGGTAAATTTAGGGTGATTTTTCAGAGATGAAAGAAAAGGCAAAAGAATCACAATGCTAACAAACCCCACTCCTTCCTCATTAAATTGACTGGCAGTTAGATCACCCGATTGCATTCAAGTTTAGAATTTACTCATATTGCCTACTTTTAATGACCTTTTTAAACTATAAGAATTCAAAAATAAGATACAAATGGGGTTAAAAATAAGCTAACTGGATTTTCTGTATAGTTCTACATATAATTATAGCTTCATTATAGAACAGTGACAATATAAATATAGAAATTGATAATAATTCTGTCAACATGCAATCTTGTCTCCTGGCTCTAATTGACACCTGTATCAGGTTCCTATGTGAAGAAACAGTGCCTTTTAAAGAGGTGCAGGTAAGTAGAGAGAAGTGGTTCCACAAAATAGTCCTTTCCCGAACCCTCTTAAATAAATTATAAGTAAACTGGAATTTTCAATTTAGCCCTGAGGAGCAGGCAAACTTTTCTTGAGTTATTTTGTCTGAGGTTTTAGAAAACACAAAGTATAGTATGAAGAAATTTTATAATTTGTAAACCTTTCTATGCCTAAAGAATCATATTAGAATAACCAATTTTTTAATTAATATCCAGAACTTAGTATGATAAATTTACAAAACAGTTCTAACATGCACTATTGTTCAGTATAAATAATCTCCCCAAAATATCACATCATCTTGAAAATAAGTTGTCTATAAAATTACAAGTGTAAAGACTGTGGCCAAATATCATCTTAATTAATTTCTTACACTAAAAAATGTTTACCAAATAGCTTTTTTTGTATGAAGGAATAACCTTGCCCACTGAAGACCAATTCTCTGTATATTCAGTAACAATGCAATTGTACCACTATTTCCCACAGCTCAGAAGTGTTGCTTTGAGTTTGCCTTAAAACATCATCAAGTCTAATTCCTATCATAACATGAGGATTCACTTCTTGTAAAAATCAGTTAGTTCAAAGGAAAGGCTGAAGTGATAATACTAACATTTGTAGCACTTGAGGATTTACAGAGTCTTTTCACATCTGTTTTTTTATTTGATCCTATCAACAACCATGTAATAATAAATTATATATCAACCATATAATAATAATGATGATAATTTTAGTATTAGTGTTATTTTTATTAAATTCATTCTATTGAGGAAGAAACAGACAGAGTCTTGGAATTTGCCAAGGACTGGCTAGTACTTAGAACTGAGGTCTTACAATTGTACTCCATGCAAGTATAGATCTCCAAACTTTCTATAAGACAAAAAATTCAAAGTAAATATTTCAGTGCTTGCGATTTTTATTATTGTACCATTTCTTTAATACATATACTTTTGAATTCCCTAATAATTGAAAGACTGTGTACGTTTCTTTCAGTGAAGTATAACAATGTGAGCTGCATGTGTAAATAGCATCACATTGTTACCTCCTCTCTATGGCATTATAGTAGCACTGTGCTTTTTTTTCTGCCTTCACTAATTAGGAATATTGTGACAGTGCACTATTAATAAAACATCACCTGAGTCACTTTGTACTATTTTTAATTTGGCCTGATACTAAAATCTGACAGTGTAGTTTTATAACACGGTAGTTTTGTAACACGGTAGCCTAAGCTTCAAGCTTACTCTACTTCCCAGATAACTACTAGAGATGAAAACCAGTTATAAGCAGGGTTGTTGATTATAAGCAAAGTATGAGCAGTTAAAGTTGTTAATTATTAATATATGAGAGTTTTTAATTTCACTTTTGTAAATAGGCCATTATTAAAAATTATTAAAATATTTTAAATACTTTATAGAAGAAAATATTTTGCTTACTTTTTTCAGTGATAAACTTGGTCCTCATTCAAATAAACTTAAGAATCTTCTTAAAGTTTCAATTTTCGAAGTCATGATTAATAAGGCATTCTATGATAAAAACATCTGTGGCTCAAACGTTTTACCTTCTCACGTAATAGTGTGTTTAGAACTTGGAGTTTTCACAGATATTATTGTGTTATTATTAGCTGTTATTTACAAATAACCTATCTGTCTGTCCATATACTATTCACATCCTCAGACACATTTGCCTTTTTAAAAAATTGATTTGTAAATCAACTGTAAGACTCCAGTGATTTCAGCATTTTGTTCATGTTTTATTGGAAATACTCATGGTTTCTGAGGCTTTTAAACAAATGCATGGAATGGTCGAAAGATTTATATTGCTCGTACTTAGCTAAATAAGTCATCTCTAGAAAAGATGTGGTTTATTTTGGCACTGTTTTAAAAACTCAAATATTTTAAACATTTGTTAAGTTGGAGCTTGCACATTTGAACTAGTAGTTCCAGTATACGTATATGTTCCAGAATAGCATCTCAAATTACCAAAGTTTTGTAATCCTTTTACAAGAATAATCTTTTTTGAAAAGGTTTTCTTTTCTTTTATATTCTGTACTTTAGTGTAAGTTAAATTAAATTTATAAAGGTTGAGGTTATCACATTTTTTTGTTTCCAGAAGTTTATTCATACTAACATAGCTTGTTTCACTAAGTTCAGATAACTGGGTCTTACTTTATCTGTACTTGTATTAAAATGAGAAAATCTACACAAACCATAATCAAAGTATGAATTTCAAATGTTTAGAAATGTTACATTAAACTTTATAATAATTTCCATTAATTCAGCTTTATTCTAAGTGAAATGATGTGTCATCTCACTTCTATTCCAGAAAACTTGTGATATGTACCTATAATAGTAATTTCCTTGTTATAAATGAAGAAACTGAGGCTTAAGAGAATTAGGTACCTACCCAAGGGCAAAGTTGGTAAGTAGGAGAATCAAAGATTTAAACCAAAATCTCTGATAGGACTTCATAAATAGAATTTGACAATGCTAAAAGGGTATGTGTGAAAATTATTAAAATATTATATACTACTGATGTTTCTTTACAGAAATCTTAATATGCTTATTTTCAATTTTATTGTTTTATAAATACAGTTTTGGAGTATACTAGTACTTTTAAAGCCAGCATTTTCTTAACTATCTAATTATTTTAAACAATATATTTTAATACACAAATTCAGATATCTAAAATATGTATGTACTTTTTATTCGCATGAAATCCCCCATTATGAATCCTACAGTATTTCCATGCAGTTCTTATATGTTGATCTTAATCAGATTTGTAAGTGTACAGTCCTGAAGACACTGTGCTAGCTATGCACTATAAAATGTACCGCAGTAAGGAAACAGATTAAGTTCACCATCAAACTGTTTGACTTCCTTAACAGGTTTAACAAAGGTAAATGTCAATATGAACAAATTTTTAGGTACTTGGAGAACCTTTCAAAACTATTTAGACATAAAATAAAAGTATACTAATAAAATACTAAATAGAAATTTTTTTGTAAATATGCTTAGAAAGAAACTAAGAAGGGAGAGCAGATTCCTTTATTAAAAAATAATAGACTGATCTAAATCCAGTACAAAGCACCTCTACTCACTTTGGAATATGCACATGGAATTTTGCTGTAACCAATAGCTAAAATCTAAAAGCACTGCTTTTGTTGTATTTGATTTTTCAGTCCTAATAAGTGAAATATCAAGAGAATAACATTGTATTGCCTATCGTGAACTTACGATTTAAAGCTTAAGGTTCATGACTAAAAGAGAAACAGGGAGGGAGTAGGCAGCAAGAGTCTTTGGGGCAAAGATTTGTTAATCTGGTAATATCTAAACTGTCACATTACTATGCAAAAAATTATTTCACCATGTGTGGCCCTTGTGATATTGTCATACATTCTACTCCTATAAATGTACTCAATAATAACATTGTTATTATTTTTACTTTAAACAGTCAACTATTTTTAAGGATTCGTAAAAACAACAATGAAATTATTTTATATTTACCCTGGTATTCTACCATTTTCTGTGCTCTTCTTATCTGTGAAGATCCATTTCCACTTGTTACCATTTTCCTTGAAGTATTTATTATCCATACTAGTGCACTGAAAATATCTCTTTTCTGACCTTTATTTTCAAAAAAAAAAAAAAAATGTTTGCTGCATACAGAATTTTAGATTAATAGGTTTCTTTGAAGTATTCTGAAGACATTGCACTAATATCTTTGGCTTACTTTGTTCTGCTGTCTTTCTTATTTTTGTTCTCTCTATATAATGTGTCCTTTGGCTCCTTTAAGTATTTTCCCTTTGTCACTTGTTTTAACCAATTTCAATATTATGTGCTATTGTGTAGATTGTTCTGTGTTTGTGTGCTTATGGTTTGTCAAACTTCTTGGATCTGTGAGTTTG